TTAACGACACTGATGTGACGACCTAGGAAGTATCTTAGTTCGAAGTATCTTAGTACCATGTCTATTTTCTTTTGTAGTTTAACGAGTCAAAGTTTTTAATATACACCACGAGCACTGGAACAGGTCGAGCATTAATTTTGCCGAGTTACTTCCCATTTTAATAAGTCATTGTTTTCAAGGGATGCAACCAATAAAAATAAATACTGATTAAATGTGTATGCTTAGTGAAACACTTGAATTATAAATGTAAATGGTATGCTTTTATTTCTTTAAATATAATAACTTTTTTTAAAAATTGGAGGTAATTGTATGTCTGTTAAAAAAAGGTCATTTATTTGTTCCATTTTGCTTTTAAATTATTACTTTAGCTATATTAAGTGCGCAACTTATAGACGCTTGATAATTCAGAAATTTATTTTCATTGCAACAACGACAGTCACTGAAAGTAATTTTAATAATTATTTTTAAAATTTAATAACTTGATATGTTCACTGAGCGACGCCAGATTGTAAAGTATTGGTCTTATTGTTTTTAAAATCGTGTTCATTGTGCATTTTATGCTTACAAATTTCCAGCTTTGAATAACACAAAAAATTATATAACAAAAAAAAAAAAAAAAAAAAAAAACTAAAATTTAATTTATATTGAATTTCTGGAATCGCATGTATTCGCATTACATTTCGTTCGTTAAAGAAATGGGAAATAAGCTAATCAACATGCCTATTGTATTTCTCAACTTATAATTAAATCCATATCCACAAAAGGATACTAGAAAATACATATTAAAACAAAACCGTTTTAATAACAAGTTTTTATGTAATGCACTAAAAAGTAGAAAATAATCGACACACAACTATTTAAATTGCTATAAAGAAAAGCGTGGGTCACTTTATAATCTACTAGCGTACCCGTCCCCCGCGCGTTGTCGCGGGGATAGAAGAAAGTATGACGAAATGTATTAGAAAGATTTCACCAACGCGTTACCAATCATATGTTCTTAGACGCGTGGCCGTCTTTTCGAAAAGTGAGTTATTTAAATGTAAACAATGCCTGCGCTTAAATCATAAATATTGGGACACAGGTTTACCTACACTACCGCATGTAAACATTGAGTGTACATTAATCACTCACCGAAATAATATGGTAGAACAAACTTCGGTGACCGCCTCTGTGTCAGAGACGTAGAGGAGCGGTCTCAGGGACCCCACCCCCCGATTACACTACCGTATAGGCGCGGCGTACGACCCCTGGCTCCTTAAAACTAACAGGCGCCATTTTTAGAAGCCTGTTGTAGTTTTACCGCTGAATATAGTAGTACCCCTTACTCGCTATGCAGGACGCTCGATTAACGGATGCCAAGTGCCAACATCGTCGCTCTAAAACTATGGGCGCCAAACCGTGTATTGACGAAAGGTGTACCCTATATGGCGCCGCCCATAAGAAACTTTAGTTTTCTTTTTCGCAGAAAAATTCTCGGGAGTATTCTCATCTACTTCCTAAAGTTTCATGGCACTCGGATGAACTGCATCCGAGTTTTATTTTTTGTATACCGTGTATAGAGAAAAAAATCGCTCCCCCCCCGGGGGGCGCCGCCCTTGCAATATTAAACAATATATTTTTTGCAGAACCCTACGATTGAGTGATCTAATCATCCCCCAAAGTTTCATGATACACGGTTGAACGGTGTGAAACCGAAATAGACTTTTTATAAACCGTATATAGAGAAAAATCGCAGCCTCCCGTGGTGCTGCCCTTGCGATATTAAAAAAGGATTTTTTTTTACAAAATACTTCCCTGATTTGTTCTAATCAACACCCCAAAGTTTGATGGCGATCAGATAAATGGTGTCAAACCAAAATTGACTTTTATTTTTATATATCGTATATTGAGAAAAATCGCACCCTCCCGTGGCACCGCCCTTGCGAAATTAAAAATTACTTTTTTTACAGAACCCTTCTCTAGAGTGTTCTTATGAACTCACCAAAGTTTCATGCCTATCGGATGAACGGTGTTAATGCAATTCACTTTTATTATTTTTATATACCGTATATAGGAAAAAAAACGAATCGCGCCCTGTCGGGGCGCCACCCCTACGAATTTGAAATATTTTTTTCCGCAGAAACCTCCCCAGGAATATTCTCAACAACTTCCCAAAGTTTCACGGCGATGTGATGAGAGGTGTAGTAATGCATAAAAGACAAACAAACAAACAAACTGATGCCAAGTGCCAACATCGTCGCTCTAAAACTCTGGGCGCTAAACCGTGTATTGACGAAAGTTGTACCCTATATGGCGCTGCCCATAAGAAACTTTAATTTCCTTTTTCGCAGAAAAATTCTCGTTAGTATTCTTATCTATTTCCTAAAGTTTCATGGCACTCGGATGAACCGCATCCGAGTTTTATTTTTTGTATACCGAATATAGAGAAAAACAAATCGCGCCCTGCCGGGGCGCCACCACTGCGAATTTGAATTTTTTTTTTTCGCAGAAACCTCCCCAGGAATATTCTCAACAACTTCCCATAGTGTCACGGCGATGTGATGAGAGGTGTAGTAATGTATAATGGACAAACACACAAACACACAGACACACAGACACACAGACATACATTGCTTTATATATATATATATATATATAGATTGGATACCTTTACTAATATTTAGGAAGAAACCTACACTTTTTCTTAATTTGATGTTTCTGTTGCCTTTCAAATTTCCCAATTAATACAAAAGCAATAATGACATCAATCATTTTCCTGCCTAACAAAACAGGATTTACCGTTCTTAACTATCAATTATAAACACATAATGCTGCAGTAATGGCCTGTGTGCTGTTTAAAATATACAATAGTTTGAGGTACTTCCCATTCATACATTAAAAATAGCGAAGGAATTCTACCTAGTAAATATTATAATATTAATAAGTAAATTTAATATAATACGTTTCTATACAACAAAAAAAAAATAATAAAAAGTGATTGTGTTATGTTAACATTTAAAATTACACAATAAATATATGTATGTTCGTATTTAGCCTAATTAAACCTAGTTTGCTTACGCAATATTTTTTTAAGCAAAAAAGTAGTATCTTTTTCAAATAACTAATTTTTAAGAATACAACATCGCCGGAAAGACGCATTAACCTTAAAGGACCCATTTTTTCCAACGTTTTTTTGTTTATAATATTGGAAACACATTTAGATATTTGACAACATCGGTTATACAAAAAGTGACTGTCTGTGAGTAGTGACACATAAAACATCACCTTGAACATGCATGAATAAATCTATAACACTATGTACTGTATGTATTTTGTTGAACTTAACGACACATTTACAATAGCACTCATGTATGTCAGTACATCTCAGAGCTTCTTTCATGCATCTTTTCTATTGTCCACCACACCCTGATAAGTACACAACGACTACGCTAAACTATTTCTTTTTAGCATTGTTCTTTTTTTAATACAAAAAATGTATATTTTATATTTAGAAATAGTATCAGATTTTGCACAGTGTTATCAATGTTATATTCATATTATTGTGTTGATTTAGTTACTAAGAAATAAACATTTTCTTCTAAATGATGCCAACATATCTAATTGGTTGTGTATTCTCAGTTGACTCAACTGAATGTGATACTGTCTTTGTTGTTTTAGCTTTGTTTACTACACATCACACGGTCCGCGTCTTTAGTTCTCTCCCCCACCGCACACCTACACCCGCACTACACCACCCCACCCCGCACTACCCAGCATATTACTAGCTACAATTGTTGCAAGAGAAATAACAGATTAATGTTCTGAAGAGTCCAGCCAGTAAATGACCAGGATGACAGGTGACCCAGGAATAAGCCACTCGTTAGACACGACATAGTCTAAATTAAGTTTCTATTGAATCAGTTTGAGCTATATTCAGATTTATCGAGTTTTCCTAACTTATCCCTTAATAATTATTTGTCATTACGTAAATACCAGGATATGACCAGTACGTTTGTACCAGTGTTTCTTTCAGCCAACTCTATACAAAGTGCGACCACTGCACACCCTCCACTACATGGGACAAAATAGGAACAAAATTAGTGTATATATGCTTTAGCCAGTGTCTGACCCACTGAAGGTTTCAAATGTCTCTCGATAGTTTCAATTGACTTCCCCCCCCCCCCCCCCCACACACACACCAAGACAAATATGTGTAAAAGAAACCATTGAAACTCTAGAATTTAGTGATTAAAACCTGCAATACACATGTCTTTTGTCCTGGTTTATTATGTTGATGAACCAGAACATCCGTTCACCAAACTACGATACTGTCCTACTAACTACGCTACATTTCACCTAATTACGTTCCTCGCCTACCGTTTTTACGTTACATTCTTGTTCTAACAACGCTACTCTCTAGCTACACTACTGTCCTAACATAAATGCGCTAATGTCATATCCTAACTACGCTACTGTCCTAAACACAACGATGTTTCATCATTCTAGAAATACAATTAACCAGTCAATATTTTCTTTTTAATTGAAATTTAATCTAAAATGTAGAGCATGTTTTATTATTAATTATTTCCCTTTTTCTCACATAATAATGCAATGGGTAACAACCAGTAAATAAAATTAACACATATTTTAACAACAAACACTATTTAAATTTAAACAATTTAAAAGTAATTCAGCGTAAATAAAAAGGCAAATAAAAATACTATAGGAAACCATATGAGTTGTGTATGTTGTGATATTAATTTTTAAATAACCGTAGCCTGGTTATAATAAGCAACTATTGACTTTACAAACTACATTATTTCTAGACCGTTGATGAATCAGGTACAGCTTTAATCATCTTTAAACACAACACTAGAAATGTCTTTTTACTTCTTTATTCTGCAGAAACCTAGATTCTAGACTCGCTTCACGTTCAATAGCATGACCCTGTAGTCTTAAAATTTCCATTGCTTGAAAAGCCTATACACTTTTATGAGGACAGCACCCAGATACCCCAATGGATGCAAGAACGTGCGACAAAAATTAAGGAGTCTGATGCCATAGTTCTGCTGTCGTCTGAGTACAACTCGGTCATTCCTCCAGCCCTGACCAACATGCTGTGTCACTTCAGCCCTAGTTTGTTTACATGCAAGCCCAGCGGGATTGTGACATATTCCTTGGGAGTTTTTGGTGGCATGAGGGTAACTATGCAACTGCGAGCTCTCCTTGGTGACATGGGATGTTTAAGCATTGGCAACACTTTCTGTATACCAGAGGTGAATAAAGCACTGGATGAAAATGGCATCCCTCTGAATGACAACGTGGTTAGGGGCGCAGCGAAAATGATTTCACAGTTGGATTGGGTGACTAAGGCATTGAAAAGTCACAAGGGCAACTTTGGCTTACCTTAGGAAAGTAAATTTGCTGACTCTTGTTAACCTGAGCAAAATGATTTGTTTCAAATAGTTACCTCAATAAATGTGTGTTTAACTCAGTAAATGTATTCAAATAAGTATTTAACTTATTAAATGAATCTAAATATTTCTTTGCATATCTAAGTTTTTCCTGTTTGTATTATTTTTAATATTGAATATTCAAAGTTACTAAATGTAGGAACGATATTGTAATTATGAACCTTATGTAATTTGCTTGTGATAACTACTAGATGTTTGATATACTAGGACAGGGGTCGGCAACCTTTTGAAACGGAAGAGCCAAAAGTTACAATTTTCAAAATTTCCCTGGTTTTAAAGAGCCACTAACATTTTTTTTTTATTTCAAATATTTGATTTTTTATTAAGATTATTAGTATTTGAGCAAGGAGCTGGAGAGCCGCATCTTGATATTAAAAGAGCCGCATGCGGCTCGCGAGCCGCAGGTTGCTGACCCCTGTACTAGGATAACGACTGTTTCATGTTAATTATTTCATATTGCATTGAACAACAAAAAATAAAGAGAATACATTATTAAAAAAAAATATTTTGCAGAAATAAAATAAACCAACAATAAAATAAAAAAAAAACAATAGCTAAATTTAAACTGATCGCTTTTTGATCGATACTTTCTAGGAAACTTGACTCACGCTTTATACGGTCTACTCCAAACAGAAACCATCTTGGAAACGCCACCTTGTTGGGTGACTGCATTGTACAATATACAGTAAACTATGATGCCGTCCATGGAAGCTACACCATCACCAATTGTCTGTATTTGATTCCAAGTGCCAAATGTAAACAAGACAGGTCTGTAGTTTTCTCCACGACACGGATGTGACGACCTCGGATGTGTGTTGGAAGTATGTTAGCACGTCGTTGTTGGCATAGAGTCTGATAACAGTTGGAACGTTTCTGTAACATCTTGGTCTGGTATTTGACTAGACAACAAACAACGATACGTTTATCGTTGCTATTTTCATATTGTAGAGTTGTATATACATACTAATGTGTATTTATTGTGTATTCTAACACTGGCTTATATTTCCGAATCGAGAAATATAATAAATAAAACATTTGACATATTTCGAATTTTAAAGTTTATTTAATTTCTGCACGAAAAATGTATTCATAATTCTAACTCTACTGTCCTACACTGTACTTCTACTGACTGACTATGACTTTCTATTAGTATAAAAAAATTACTATTTATACTTAAACCAGCATATATACGACACAAATTCCAACTTAACTGACAATCCCCTAACACTATAATGTCTAACTGTTTACTACACGTTCGAACCACCAACTGCCCTAAAACTTTGATTGATCAGCTGACCGTTTTTTTTCAGCTGAAACATTTTTCTAATACATAGATAATGACTTGTGTCAATACTGTTGAGTATAACGTTTAAATATGCATAACAGTTGTATACAATGTTGTATCTGATTTATTGTCATAGTTTCTACTTATCAAATGTGTACATTCTCAACAGACACAAGTATAAACAATAGCACATCAATGTTATTATGTGCTTGTTTAAAACGTTTGCGGAGATTAAGTTAAATAAATATTATATTTGGTTGGTCATTTGTGTCTACACTATCTAGCACAATCGAAGACATTAGTTTTACATAGATGCGTTACCTAAACAGTGTAGACGCTAGACACGTTACGTAATACAAATAACAACCATCGGTAGTTTAATGAGTGCAATGGGGATCTCCAAGTAATACATACATTATTTTTCTTAACAAGTCACAAATTTTATGGTCTTTAAACCAATTACCTTTTTCCTACATTTTGTCTTGTTGTGTTTAGTATAAAAATAATAAAAAAGGTTTAAAATAGATTTACCATAGATTCAAATCTATCAGAAATGTAGATGAATTTTCTAGTTCTCAATCATGAAAAAAAAACTATTTTCAGCAACTACCTTCCTCTGAACATGACTGCCTATATCATTTCTAATAAAACATGATGCAAATCACAACAAATAGCAGAGTTCTACCTAACCTTAGTGGCCACACATTAGGCAGTAAATTAGCAAATTAAAAACACATTATATTTCTCAAGTATGGAAGATCTGGCACATGTGTTTTTTAGCCACGAAGCCTTTGATGTCCCCATGCTACACAATACAATGATGACATATTATGTACCGTACATTCTCAGTTTTACCAAGTAGGACAAGACCCGAATCGTCAGAACCATAAGATGCCCCCCCCCCCCCCACACACACACACTATAGATAATGACATCAATGCATTTAGAACATTCATTAGTAAAGCGGTAGTGTTCTGTTATAAATGTTCTCACATATTCTTATAAGACGATATAGATATGTTCTTTTAATACTTTGTCTTAATACTTTAATAATAGAATCGAGCAGAAAAAAATACACCAGCAAAAAGTGTGAGTCTATAGAGCGGGAAATTAGTATTTATGTTTATCCAGCTTTTTTAAATGTACGATATATTTCATATGTGCTTCCCCTAAAACATAGATCCCAAACATTTATGAAGAGAATTACATTGATCGCTTAAAAAGTATCTTGTAATAAAATGCGCTGGTTAAAAGGCATCAATCACTGCCCAAATTGGAATCAACGAACAAAAACACACATGTAGCATAAGGGGTCATCCATAAATGACGTCACGCTTTTTTTGACGATTTTTACCTCCCCCCCCTCCCCTCCGTCACACGTCGTCACAAAAAGCCAGACCCCCCCCCCCCTAAAATGACGTCACACCTCAACCTACAACCCCCCTCAAAATTGCAGTTGAATTTTTTAAAAACATCGATATTTTTCCAAAATCTTGTCTAAACTATTACAATTTATTAAAACAGTTATCTAAAACGCGAAATAACGTCTAAAATTCGTTTTCTAACATTGCTTTTTTATAATGCAAAAATGTGACGTCGCAACATCTGACCCCCCCCCCCCTCCCCCTCATCACACATTGTCACAAAATTACGGACTCCCCCCCCTACGAGTGTGACGTCATTTATGGATGACCCCTTAAGCCGCTATTTAGTTGTTTTTTTTTAAAATGTTCTACTTTTCATTTATTCATTTTTTAGTGAATTCGACACTACCCCAATGCTGCGACTGAAAATATTTCGCTTTAAAACACTATCAGTAGCTCGTGAAGGACGATTATCCCCCGTGAAAGCAGCCGTCATGTATTAACTTATCTCTTCTAATGTTATAAATTAAAGACAGGACACGTTTTAGAATCAATGTTTGTTTTAGTTTTGAGGAGAAAAAGTAGAAGAGAAAGTTTTTATTTTTATTTTTTTATTTAGTAACTTCGGAAAGTTGTATTAAACGTACACCATTAATTATATTTATGTAGTGAGATTATTCAGATGCAGTGCTAAAAATAAAACATACGCAATCTAATAAAGAAACCGTCACATATACTTATTCAGATATTTATTTGTTCTTCTTTTCTGAACTGTATTGGTGGTTTTTATTATACTGATGGCTATTACTAAACATAATACAATCAGTAAAGTAAACAATATAGTTCAAACATTAGCTATACTAAGTTGTGGTGACCGATTTGACCTGCCCTGGAGGCTTCAAGCAAGTGCCTGTCGTGTTAAAATATTGTGTGAGCATTTTCCAAGCATCTTCTTATCTGTATTGACATGTTCTCCTATCTTGACCTGCTAGACATGGCTGTGTTAGACACTATATCCCGCCCTTTGTAGGTGCTGGTAATTTGTGTATATGGCAATAATATTACGGAGTAAATAAAGTTCAATTCTGTATGTGGCGGGCGGACAGACCGCGAATCCTTGTGCTCAACAGTGAGACAATAGAGTTGAGGCTTGATCAGGCAATTGCTCAACATCTCGGCAATACCAACTTTAGAAATGATCCCTTAAAACAGGGGTCGGCAACCTTTTGAGACGGAAGAGCCAAAAGATACAATTTACAAAATGTCACCCGATGCGCAATCACCCAAAGGTCTGTTAGACACTAGAGCCTTATTTTGACTTCCTTTGTTAAATGTCTTGTTTATCCTTAACCTAACTTGCTCTAATTTATGTAAACGTTGCTGAAACTTGGAAGTAGTTATATATATATATATATATATATATATATATATATATATATATATATATATATATATATATATATATATATATATATATATATATATATACATATATATATATATATATATATATATATATATATATATATATATATATATATATATATATATATATACGTATGTATATAGGCCTACACATGTGTATATGTATTCACATATATATTTTTTTATGTTCGACACATAATAATGGGTGTGTTGCTCCTGTATAGCCCAGATGTTCGACACAACAGACATGGATAGACACACCTCCTTACACCCAGGTAGGTTCGGCTTTCTTACTAACATTGTAAAACAATGTTTCTGCACTTGTTTTAAACGTGTATAAAAGACTGTCTGAAAATAGCAAGTTTAATTACATAATACGTTTATTGAATTTTCTAATACAACACTTAATTAAAATATCTGCTTAATTAATGTTTTTAATACATGCGTATTACTTGCCTCTGTTCAAAGTTTAAAGGTAATTGACATGGTATGGTAAGGTCGGATGGTAGAGTTTATAACTTCTAACCAGGATGTCTTACGTTTGAATCGGAATTCAAAACCGTAGAATGTCCCTGAGTCCACCCAGCTTTTTTGAGTACCGGGATCAAGTTAGGGAATGTTGCGCGTAGAAAAAAATAGAACTATAGAACAACAATAAAATATGTTGAAACGACATCCTATTCACAATTAACTAGCCATTACAATATATGCATACATATTTATTGTTTAATTAATACTAAATTACAACGGACACAATAATCTGAACGATGATTCACCTACTATCATGGTTGCACAATATATGGTTATAAGAGGAGCATATAAAGTTTATCATATCACATTTAACAGTACACAAACATTGTCAA